CTAACTAAGTAAGCACTACACCATGAAGACATATAGGGGAGTGGATGTGTAGCTCCACATTTTCTTGACCTTGGCCCTAGCTGCAGGTGAGTGGTCATCTTCACGCCCTGGCCTCTTTTCCCTCAGGAAAGAGCCCCCCGTAACCACTGGATAGGAGGTTGGGTGGACCCCAGAGCCAGTCTGGACAACATGGAGAAGTGAAAATTCTTGACCCCACCAGGACTGAAACTCCTATCCCTCGGTTGTCCGACCGGTAGCTAGTCACTATTCCAACTGTGCTATCCCAGCTCATGAATGTGGATGTAGCATATTATTTATAATTTTGTCTGTGGTTAAGTGCATACATGAAGGCACTGCATTTTTGTGTTTGTGTATTGTATTAGGAGTTGACATATGGAGTGAAGATCTCATGGCAGGAAGCACACTTACCGTATCTCATCTCTATATTGACATCTTGGATTGTTAGTGAGGAGAAGGACATAATTAGTTTGTCGCTTGGTGTTTTGGTGAACCTGTGCTACAAGAACTTGCCAGCTGTGTACACTCTGATGCGTTCTGTGGACAGCAAGCAGTTTCTACGCACCATTCTAAAACTGCAGAATGACAATATTAACACACGTGTTCAGGTACTGTTTTTGGATGTTATTTGCGAAGTGTTTTTAAAGCTCATGCATGAGAAGGCATTTTTATATTCATTTCACATTTTTATCTTGTAATAGTGACAGTTTAACATTATAGTTAGTTCCAAAATAAAATATTTTGTGAACTTCATCCCTGATAGTGTTTGTTTTGTTCCTTCCTTTATTCTCCATAGGATATATTTAAATGTTTATAATTTTCAGTGTTGCACAAACCATTTGGAAAAAGTTGAATCAGACTCATAAGGCAGCTCTTTGGCTTTTCACTATGCCCAATTATCAGGCTCATTATTAGTACACAGTGGTTTATTGTAATTGGAATTCACTACCAGGTGTGCAAGCTTCTCATCATTCTGGAACACATTTCTGGAGAGATTCCTGACACAGACATCCTCAACTTTGTGAATGTCACATTTTCGACTGTAGGTGATGCATTCAAGTCTCATGACATATTCCTGCTGAGACATATGGTGGATTTCTTCAAAGATGTACAAATGAATCCTCATTCCAGAGATGTTCTGCTAACTTACCATAGGTAAAGCAAGTTGCTACATTTTTCATATAGTCTGCATGTCTGTTTCTGAAATATTAGTGGACTGTCATGTTAAGATAACAAGGGCCATACTGAAAATAATAAGCAGCATCACTTTGTATGTGTTTTATTGATGTGCCAAAACTAGGGGTTATACAGCCAATAGCTGTATGTGTTCCAGAATCTGACATAAGGTCTAGCACACGCACACCGAAACTTACTCACCAATCTGCCTGGCTGGGATGTGCTCCCCCACCTTCCCTACAGTGAAAACTTGGTGAGCACTTTGAAAATGATGAGATAGCCCAGCAGACCTTTCATACACGGTTGCAAAATACTGAAACAGACTCCTCTTGCCGTGGTATATTCAAGCTCATGCGGCACTGGCAGAAGTGCTGGGATCATTCAGGGGATTTTGTGGAACAGTGATAGAACGTCTCCAGTAACTCAAGATGCTGTCTGTTTTTGTACATATACCCCTGCTTTAATATAACAAAAATATGCTCATGACTTTTTATATGCCTTACATACATAGAAACACAAAGTTCATCAGTTCATTCTCTCATTCCTTTGTTATGAATTTTGATTCAAGTTTGAAGACTGAATAGACCCCAGGGCTGTTGCAGATGATAAAGAGAAAAATGCGAGCACCCCCTGCTGTAACTCTGGCTTTCAGTTTGCAGTCAGTCATTTTGCAGCACAGCAGCTACATGTAACTTGTTACCCTGGGTGAATGGCATCAGATTCATATTTTCTAGAATTTTTTAATAAATTTTCGCTTTTAAGACTTTGATAAGAATTGCATCGTTGCTTAATGTATGAGTATTTGTATTTGATGTGTTTATATGGTTTAACTAGTGCATTTATAAGAACATTTAATGTCATAATTGTTAGTATATCTTGACCTTGAAATCTGAGTAGTGGATGGTCTTGTACATTATTCTTGTTAGACTTTATTGTAAATGAAAGTTGTTCTCTTTCATTTAGTCAGTAAGAGTGTAATTTCTTTATTGCAATTGAGTCTTGAGCCTCACGAATGCTTTGTTTGATACAATAAGTGTGTTATTTAAAGAAGTGCATCCATCTTGTCCACATGTTACAGCCCACAAAACTACTGAACATATTTTGCTTTGCCAGACAAGGTTCATTCTATTGTTTTTTCTGTCACATCTTCTACTTTACATGAAGCTTAATTCATACTGCTGCAGAGGTGTGTTGGTCCTTATCCTGTTGAGGAAATACAATAGAAGCTCTTGGATATTCCTTTCCTTCATTTTTGCCTTTTTGTTTCAATTATACCATTCTGTAATCATCTCTTTTGTTTTCCTTATGGGGCTTACTTTCGTGCTGAATGCCTGTTACCTTCTAGGGTTATGACCATAGTAGCTTGAGGGCTCCATAATTTTATATTGTACTCACCCATATTCTCTCATTCTTGCTTTATGAGAGCCGTGTCTGTCAGTGTCGTTCATGACAGGTTTCTTTCTCTTCTAAGGTTATTATCTCCATTCAATTTTTTTTCCATGATTCTTATTTATCTTCTGTATCTTTACTATGCCTGTGGTTCTCTCCCATAGTCTCAAGAGCATGCTTCCAACTTGTGCGTCTATGGAGAACACACAAATAGTACATGAGTGGACTCTTCTTATTGCTCCTATATGCGACGATACTAGTTTGTTAGTTAAAAGTTCAGACTGTGATGATCTCTGTGTAAATATAAACAATGCTTTTCATAGTATAAATGAATGGTTCAAAGTAAACCAACTTTCTATAAATTTTAACAAAACCCACTACATTCAATTTACAGCTAGAAATAATAATCCTAAATCTGAAATAAAAATTGTGTATGATAAAAAACAAATTACATCTATATCCAATATTAATTTTCTTGGAATATTCATTGGTGACACAATGAGCTGGAAATACCACATTGAGTATATTAGTTCACAACTAAGTGCATCTGCTACATAATAAGATCGCTTAAACCATACACGTCCATAAATACCTTAAAAATGGTTTATCACTCTTATTTTAATTCTATTATAAATTATGGTTTACCCTTTTGAGGTAACTCACCCCAAAGTATAAAAATTTTTAGAATGTGGAAGAATATAATTAGAATTATGTTGGGACACAGAAGGAGGGATTCGTGCAGGAACTTATTTAGAGAATTAGAAATCTTACCTCTGGCATCTCAGTACATACTATCTCTTATGCTCTTTGTGATAAAAAACAGAAACAAATTCACAGTAAATTCAGATATTCATAGACTAAATACCTGACAGCAAAATAATCTCCATCAGCCTCTTGTAAATTTGAGTAAATACCAAAAGGGAGTCTACAGTTTAGGAACAAAGGTCTATAATAATCTACCACAATATATGAAGGACATATCGAGTGACACTAAGAGTTTTGAGATACAATTTTTATTCTTTACAGGAATATTTTGGTTATAAATCTTTTTAAGATGCGAGTAGCTGTCTTGCTTTACAATTAAAAGAAGACAAGATTGTCAGTCTGTGTTCTGGTTTTTAGATGCTTATTTTAGATATACACAATCTTTATATTACTGTATACTAGTCTTTATTTCAATTTATTATATAATTAATGTATGTTATACAAAACTCGTTAATGACATTATGTTTTAACTATTGAATTTTTAATTAATAGACTTGTATAAAACTGTACAAATTGTATAAGGTTTGCCATTACTTTTACTATTAAAATTAACTTATTTATTATATTGTATATGTTTATCAGTATTTTATTACAAATGTTTATGCTATTGGATGACAACTGTAATTCTTAGTTGTGTCTGTAACTAGGACGATCTCCACATCTGCATGAGAATGTATTCTCGACAGTATTTATGGAAGATGAATAAAAAAAAATACAAGTGACACAGGTGATTGAACCAAAAGTGAAATCCAGCATGGCTTGGTGAATCTAACCACAAAACTAGTGTGGAAAAGATAGAAGGTGCACATTGGAAAGACATGATATGTAAAAACACCTAAGTAAGGAGGAAAAGTTGGGAAGAAATGATGAAACTTCATGTCTTATAATATGCAATAGGTTTGAGATGTTAAGAAGAATTAGTTGAATCCCCAAATAATACAGATAAGAAAGGACATGGTACATGTTAGTAGTCAGTGATAAAAATCATATGAACATGTCCTAAACAGAATTGAAGTAGTAGTTGTAGGAGACAGTCATACTGTACAGAAGAATCAATCCAATATTTTAGATATTTCCAGGTACTCTAGAAATATAAAATCTGGGGCAAATGCTGAGTCATTTATCAAGACTCCGTATAAAAAGTGCAACGAGCAACTAACAAGTAAGAAGGATTGTATAGGTGTATTGAGTGGAACAAATGATGTACATATTCAGTATAGTTCTAACTGTTCAGTGAGACCTCTGATATGGTCTCACATTGTACGTAGTATGTGGAATATAGAATCTTGTAACTTACCAACAATTATATGACAGTCATGCCACTATCTGATGATGACCTGCTCTAATTGATACTGTAGACAGTTTTATTTTAGATATATCATTTGATATATTTTAGAAATGAATTGATGAAGTGTGAGTTCCGCTTCGTGTAAATTCGTTTCTCGGATGCAACCTCTACATTACATGAAGCTCAATAATACTTTAACAGTTTAATTCTCAAATACAACTCAGTTAAATTTTTTATATGACATTAAACTTACACCTTATTAAGATTTATAATTTTTATTTGAAGCATTTGTTTTTAATGAAATACAAGCAAAATAATAAATTTCTCTATTTGTAATTATCTTTTTTAACATTGTTTACATTTTAAATTTTAAGTTTTATTTTCTGACAAAAGTTACGTACAGAATGGCTGACACACATACATGTTGCACTGGAGTAACCTTTGTTATTTTAGATGGGTATATAAGGTATGTAATGAATAAAGGAAACATTTAAAGAAGGAGATTCAGAAAGCTGGTACAGTAGTAGCCCAGTATAATGGGCATGTCCTACGACAAGTATTTTGTTATCATGTTGAGCATTTTCTTATGCACCATAAATTTAATTGTCTTAATTACAGGCAAAGAGAAAAGTCCCTGCTCCTGATGACTGTCCAGAATATTTTTATTTATTTATTTTAGTCTGTTCAGTGATGCTGTCAGACTGTGTTATGTCATGTGATTTAAATGATAGCAGTGATTTGGAAGGGATGTGCAAGAAAGGAGTTATGGCCTAATTCAAGGTACTATCCTGGCATTTGCCTAGAGGGATTGAGGAAGCCCATGAAAGACATCAGCCAGGGTAGCCAGTGTCCCAGCTGAGATTCAGACTAGACATGTCCCTAAAACAAGGTAGAAGCATTACTGTTTAAACCAGCTTGTAGTTTCCCAAAGATATCACACCTCACTTCCTTATACTGTAACATTATCATAGAGAGTATGTTAAATCCAGTGTACTACAGCTAGTGGATGTAAGCTACTGTTTTTTCCTCTTGCAGTTTTTCTAGTGATACAGAGCAGTTGTTGCTTCTGCTGGCTGGTGATGCTGCAGAACCTGAGTGTGTGGGGATGCTCTTTGAATTCCTGCATTCCCTCATAACCCTTCAGGTCACTGGTTTAAGTAAGCTATACCCACGCTTTGTAACTGTAGCCATGCAGTGGATCCGCACAGAATTAGCCTGTACACAGTCACTCTCTCTAATCTGCTCCATAGCTGTGGATGTAAGGCAGAGTGATGGAGATGTTGGTACAGTTCAAGTACAACAGAATGTCCTGGCACAGTTGGATCAGAGTCTGTTGGTGAGTTCAGAATAGTGAAGACAGTGGATGTTAAATGAGGAAGAGTGCAGGTGAGGTGAGCAAAATCTGCGAGAAAAAATAGTGATAAGTATACTTAAACAAAATAAAATCACACCATGATTTGAAAGAAGTAGAATATTAATAAGTACAACATTTGTTGATTTAGTGTAAATTGCTAATGAAATCGGCACATTTCACAAATTTGCAGATGGAACTGAACTAATGTAGTATCACAAGTATGAGTAATTATACACAGCGTTTGGAATGGTAATTGGATTTATTAAACTTTTACAGAATGTAACCACAGATAACTATATTGCTGTTGCTAATTCATGCACTCTACAAATCACTACAGCATGCACTATGTCTTCTTAGACTATTGTATTTTCACTTATTATGACCTGGTAACAGCTTCCAAGGACGTGGCTTCCATTTTCTCATCCTTAAAGGTCGATGACTGTAAATGCCAACTCCTACAGTAACATCCTCAGGAAACTTCGTAAGGCCATTTAACGGAAGCGACCAGGACTCCTCACCAAAGGCGCATCACTCTTGCATGATAACGCTCATCCCCATACTGCTAACAAGACAAATGAGATGCTGCAAAAGTTCAAGTGGGAAGTCCTCGAGCATCCTCCATATAGCCCCGACCTTGCTCCAAGCGACTTCCATTTGTTTGGTTCTCTTAAACATCATCTTTCGGCTGAACATTTTCCCGACGATGAAGCTATAGAAAGGGAAGTCACCGCCTGGTTCCGACAGCAGCCCAAAGGAATTTAATGCTACTGGTTTTCAGGGGCTTGTGAAACGATGGGTCAAGTGCCTCAATGTACAGGGAGATTATGTTGAGAAATAAAAGCATTTTTTCAAATCAGTACTCTTATTTGTTTAAGTTCTGTATCCATTTGTAACTTATTTATTGACTTACCCTCGTATATTGGGTGGCACTTATTCTGTCTCTTATCTCTTCTTGGTTGCCATTGATCCAGGATGTGAGGGAATTCACCTGGGCTTCATCTCCTCTTGTCTGTCGTCCACATTTCCTTTCATTTCTCAGCAAAAGGCTTCTACCTTTTCTTGATTTGAGTCCATCTTTCAAATTCTTTATTTCAGCCCCTATTTTGGCTTCTGTCCTTAATAGATTGGCATCCATTCTTTCTTTCATGACTTTGTTTTGGCCAGGAGGCATGCCAGTATTTATTCCATCTTCATAGTCTGACAGCATAACTACACAGTGCATTCTTCAATCAAATCCCACTTCTGATACAAGGCATCACGTGTATGAGTGACTGTAGATGGGGTTTGGATTGGTAATGGATTTATTGAACTCTTACAGAATGTAACTACAAGTAACTATAGTGTTACTGTTAATTCACCCACTTTGCAATTCACTACATGATGCATTAAATCTTCTCAGTGTACTCTATCTTCACCAGTTGTTGCCTGGTAATAGCTTTGTCAGCATGGACTGCACAGAAAACAGCTCTTCTATTGTGTCACGTGGCTGTCACATGGACTGTGTAGAGAACGCCACTTCCCAGTTCATTGGTGCATGTTAGGAATCTGTTGCCTAGCAATAGGCGTTATTTACCGCAGTGAGCGGCCTCCGTAGTCTAGAGGTAACATTCCCACCTCATGACTCGTGGTACGCAGGTTCAAATACCTGGCAGAGGTCGTCGAAATTTTAAGGGCGGAAAAATTCAGGGAACAAGTCCTCCGGAAGGGACTTTAAGCTGTGTGTCCCATGTCGTAACTTTACGGCACGTAAAAGAACCTCATATCCCCAAAGGGGATCACTGAGCCAAATTCCAGGACGTTTCCCGCCCAACAATAGCCTCTAAGGCCTCCAATAGATGGGGGAAGCATTATAGACACCGCTAAGCAAGTGGCCGAACTCGCTTGCTCGGCAGGACTGATGGTACACACCATTCATCGGTAGGGTAAAGAGACTGGTAGAATATCATAGAGGGAAGCACAATAGATCAAACTGGTCGCAGTGCATGGGGAAACCCACCCTCTCTAAATAACTAACTATTTACCGCAGTGTTTCGCCACTTCCGTCCGTGGCCCAGTACCAGGCCCTTGCATCAATTACACCGGGCCATCGTCTTATAGAAAAAAATTTAACGGACCGTGGTCTGTCAAATGTTGAGAACCACTGATTTACAGAGTCATTACTTAGAAATGGGTCTACATGCTACAATATCTTTCAGAAATCTTGATGTCTATAATTGGTATTATAAATACCTAGGCTTCCGTAATCATTAAATGCTCTCCTACCACATGAACCCTGCAAATTAATCACCTATACCCCATTCCAAATCACGGCCCTACCACCTCTAGAATTAAATTCATGACCCCAGAAATGTTGTGGATGGTTGCAGTGGGGTGGGTGGACAACTTCAGTTCACTCCAAGTAGTCATACCACTGTTGTCAACCCCAGTGTTTCTCAGAATCTTTAAAGAGCTTTAACCCTAGTAAGAGTCAGTACTTTCCAGTTTGAAGCTTTCTTAATGTTCTTGGCTCTACCCATGCAGGGTCAGAGATATTTAATATGTGCCTAAACAAGTCAGTACTGATATAATGTCTCATTTTCTTAGACTGCTGACAGCAGAGCTGTCAGCACTGGTTCCAACTGTACGCACAACCAAGCTTAAGCTGAACCCTTAGTTTTCTTGAGAAGAGCCTTCTTTATTTTTGGCCAGCTTCTGCTGGTCAGCTTACTCATCCCTATTAAGGAACCTCTTTTCAGTCTTACCCTTGTGAGTCTCACCAAAGTCCGTGATAGATAACTGTTTATTTTCAGCAACAGAGGACCCAACAGCCCTCTGATGCTGGGTGCAGGAAGAGAATCTTTTTCTCTTGGATAGCTGATGGCAAGGTGTCTGTGGGCATCCACTGTAATTTACCAACAAAGATAGCAGGTCCCCCCACCCCTGGCTGGTCGTTTCTGGACCTGCACTTGTTATTTGGCTCAGTCAATAGACCCCTTACAGTTTCGCCCTCAGTGGACCCTCACCAAAGCCCCTGAGACGTTTTCGCAGCCTCTCCATGACAGCAGAAGACCCAGGCTGTGAACCTTTCAGAGCCAGAGAGAGAAATAGAGCAAACAAGCGAGCGCCCCCCACCCCCTAGAGTACTGATGGTGAGTACCCTCCAGCTGCCCTTTGTCTGCACTGTAGGTAGCACTTGATCCCAGTTAGACACATAGTGAGGCACCATCCAAGGCTTCAGTCCCCAGAAAGGAGAACTGCCCCACAGCCTTCTTCCTCTGCTAGAGTCTCCAGTTCTTCTCAGAGTTAAGATTTCCAACTCCTATGAAGAGGCCCTCGTTCAGTCTCGTCCTTAATGAACTCCTCACCAGAGCCCCAAGAGATTATGACCATTTTCCGTGGCATGTCCTCCAGTGCAGTTAGTGGAAGTCAGGGTGGTCTTTAAAGCATCCCTAAATTCAAATTGACCAACCATAATGTTAATGATGAGTTAACACAGGTGCCAAACCTTGCCACTGATGTGAGCTCTTAATCCTGTAATTTTCTTGTAGGGATAGCAGAGCACTACAGCTGGTTCCAGCTATACCTACATCCAAACATCAGCTTGGCCCTTGAGAACAACATTTCTCCACCTGGCTTGTTGCTTTGTTATTCATGGATGACAGCCCCCAGCACTGGTCCCAGCTGGACCTACAACTGAGCACCAGCTGAGATCTTGGCCCTCCAAGAGTGGAAACCACCAGACACCTTCCTTCTACTAGGCTTATCAAATATTCTGCCTAATGGTCAGATTATCTGCTCCCATCCAGAGACCTTTTTCAGCCTTTCCCATGGTGTACCCCTCACCAGAGACCCTGAGAAATTTGAATCCATAGCAGCAGAAGACTCAGTAACTGAGCTTTCCTATGCAGTGAGACCTTGTAGCAACATGAGATCACACAACTGAGTCCTCTAATTCAGGGGGAGAATTATTCTTTTGGAATACTGATGATGGTATAACTGCAGCCAGTGTCTTTCATTTTCTAGCAAAGCCCCTACCACTGTCCTGCCTGGAGCTGCAGCTGGGCTCCAGCCAAGCCCTCAGTTTGCTTCAGAACAGACTTCCATTTCTTGGCTGCTTCTCATAGTCAGCCTATTTCTCAATGGGCATGTTGATCACTCACATTAAGAGGAAACCTCACCCTCAGTGGATCCCTCATTAAAGCCCCTGTGTGATTTTGGCAGCTGCAGGGGAAAATCTTTTACCACTACACAACCCTGCATTATGTGGGGGAGGTTAGTTTACAAGTGGATGTTGTCTTGTATCCCAGGGGTGCCGTTCACTATGCTGCCCCCTCAGTGCCACATGGTGGCTCACACTTTACCTTACAGCACCACCATACTTAGGAAGGCCAGCCTACTGATGTCAGTGACCACCACTGGAAGGTAGATGGGGGTGACTTGGTCCCAGAAATGTGCACTTAATACAACTGGAACAGTGGGATTTCATTTGCCATCTCAAGAAGTCAGTGATAGAGTTGGATGATTTTAATAAGACTGTGTTGTAGCATATAATTTGCAAAGGTATGTTAGTGGAGAATTATCCACAAGGGGGGAACTGGTTGTGGGCGTGCAAGAAACTGTAGGTTTAAATGACAATAAATTTTACAAGAAGCTCTACGATGATGGTCAGCTTCTTATAAATCAGTGACATTGCAGCAGCAACAATCATCAGATCAGACAGGGTGCCGCAGCTGGCATATATATTACTATGGAACATGGATTAACCAGAACCAAAACAGCTTTTATGTATATAAAATGCCCTTTTGCTTTCTTCATATTGTGACGTGACACCTGAAAGCTGGAATAGTTCATTGCTAGGCAACAACTTTGTGAACACATCCCTTGGAAGCAAACTCATGCAATAGTAAGAGAGGAATGTTTTATATGGTTTGTGCCACATGTGTTACCATGCAGTGGTGCAGTAAATCAACATGCAACAACAGAGGAAGCGATGTTTTCTGTGGGGACTGTGCCAGGCTATATAATGATTATCTCACACAGCTAGAATTAGAATAGTGTTGTAATTCTGGAGTTGGCAGTTGCAGCAGAGAATTGAGGGAGTTTCTGCAGTTGGCAGAATGGCAAGAAAGGAATTAGGCTGTGCAAAAAGACTTCATATGTTTTTGCAGTTACAGTGAGATATGACTAGTGAAGATTGAGAAGACTTAGTGTCTCCTAGTGATTTGTAAAGGGTGTAGATCAGCAATAGCGCCATATTGTCTGTAGTTTTGAATGGTGTGTATAAGGTGTCAGTAAATCCAATCATCCAATCCAAAACCTGTCTGTAGTCATGCACACCCCCTACACGTGACAGTATTGTAATGTTGATCGTTATTTGCAGCATTTACTGTCTCACTGATTGTAACCACTTATGAATGTGATGTCAGCTCTTTGTCCACTCATCATTACACTGTAACATCACTGCATTGTCTTTTCAGGCATCTTCTGTCTGCACTGAACTAGTCATGGTGCACAGCATGCACTATTTCATATCTACACATTGTACACACTGCTGCCCTTCCTTATCTTGCCTTCTACATTCAAATAGACCAGACTAAGACCATTTGTCTTGGGGGTTGCCACTGTTGTTTTCAACATATTACGACTTGCAGAACGTTTGAGTGCCTTCACAAGTGACACAGCCCTCCACATTGCTGAATAGTCTAGAAGAAGGGGGTTTTCAGTGTTTCAAAAGCACTTGCAGGCCAGGCAACCCTTTGCCGCTCATTTGGCTCCTGTAACAATATGTACGCTATACAGTATGTAATTGTGCAATAATTTACTGGTTTCTTGCTTGGCTTAATCTTTGGCCCTGAAGATGGGGGTTACATGTTCTTTTGAAACATTTGTTGACTTTCAACAGATCACACAGTGTTATATCCCAGAATATGGAATCCTTCGTGACAACTTCTGTGAGGTCCTCAAATCCTACATCAGATTGTTAGAATGAAACTTGAACATGTTGCTAATTTATATTTTCATAATTCACAACATACCTACCTTTTAACAATCCATAATTATGACTTCCCAAAATCTTTATAGAAACAGTAAGCCCTAAGATGAAACAAGAAATTATAAATGAACAATTTTTACAGGTACTGCTCCTAATCCTGGATGTGGGGGTAGATGAGAATTACCTCACTAAGTCAGAGGCTCGTACCTCAATCACTGCTGTACTTCGACTACTTCAGGAAATGAGTAAAACACCATCACTACGCCAAAAAATTCTCCTCTCTCTAAAGCAGCAGGTTTGTTTCTTAGTTACATATGTTTACTTGAAGGATGGAGTAAATGCAGACACAAAGAAATTGAAACACAAATGAATGAAAATGTATGTAGTCTTTAAGTGATGAAGAGTAGGTGGTCATTCCCATCATGGTTTTTCTTTTTAAGTGTACTAGTACTCAAATGTGACTAGGGGAGAGGATAATTTGTAAGTTTTTTATTAGAGAAGAGCCTTTAAAGTAACGAAAAAAGGTTGCGTGTAATAGGCACCAGGAAGACTGCGTCTTTACTGTGTAAAGTTCTCAGTATTAATTTTTGATCAATTGCAGTGCATATGAAGAAAATATGACACTGTTTACTTCAAGGAAAATAAATGCCCTCACAATTCTCATAATTTTTCACATTCATTCGCTGCCTCCCATTAGTTGAATGAGAAAACTGATCATTTTATTCATTTTATATGAAATCATAATGTGTCATGAATTTTGGTGTCTATAGTAAACACAAAAATGAATCACTGCTTGTTCTATATGGACACCTACATGCTGTTTTAAATTGAATGCAATACATACATTTAGATATTGCATCTCTAGCAAATGTATTGTGTAATAAAAGCATGTTAGCCAAAGACTTGTTTCTATAGACCTAAGTTGTAAATTTGTGTTACAGTACATATGGATATTTTTAGTGTTAAAGTTGATGTAATTAAATAATTATTTTTTATTGAAATGTTATGTATATACCATAACATTAAACCATCAAAATGCTTCTGAATGTTACACAGTGGACTTAAGTCAGGGAAACAGATGATAAGAAATTTGTTGTCATCAGAAGAGGCTTAATGCTGAGATTGAGGTAGTTTAACTTCACAGCATCTTCTCCTGTTTTTCTGGCCTCTTTTGAACCATGTGTTTGGGGATGTTCTAGCTAAATTTTGTGCTCACATGCATGCATGCATGCGTGCATCTTGAGGATTTGAAATGACCCTTTTATTTAGCATTGAATTAAAAAGATGTTAATTTTCAAGAGGGATACATGATACCTTATGCATTTTGTTTATACCATTGTAGGTTAAGGAGATGTCAAAGTCAGTAGAACATAAGTTTAAGGTCTTTCAGTAGAACATTTTTAAATTTTACCCTATATTTTTTCTTTTGACATACTCAGAACTGGTAGATTTTAACACATACTGACAATAGTGTACAACACTTGGGATTATTGGGTTTTTGGACTTTGTCCATTGTCTGATATTCTTTCTAATTGACTTGACAGAGTAGATGTCTCCCACCCCCTCACCTGAGGACAGAAACAGGTCCAGTTTCCAAAATGTTGTGCTATTTAAAATACCGGATGCATACCACCAGTTGTGAAACACAGCTATAGCATACTGCTCTCAGATGGTATTCATTGCCAGAATGAGTCCTGGAGCTCATTTGAAAATACATCATGTATATGCGTACATGGTGATAGCTGTCAGTTGGCAGAGACTTGTATCTTACTAGGATACTGATGCATGAAAAGAAAGAGAAAACTGTTTAGTAAACCACTGAATACTTCTGACCTGGGCTCCAGAAATCTTTCAGTGTGCTTGCAAGTATTTTTATAGGATTTATGTGAAAGCTCACACAGTTTACACTGACACTTCACCGTTTACCAACACAACTGTTTCATATGACATCTTCTGTGGCTTTTCCTGGCTGCATTCTGTTGCTTTGTGTGCTACTTTATCTGGAATAAAATTTGGTTTTATTCATATATATTCTTAAGTCACTGAAAGTGTATGCATTAATTGATTACTTTACCTTTATTTCTTTTAGGCTCCTTAGACTAGAACCTTGTTTATGTGACAGATTTATTGCTGGTAAACCTCACAATTTCAAGCACATGTCCAAAATCACTTATTACATTTTAATACATTTAGACTAAGTTCATCAGTATATTAACTTACAAGTGGGCAAGTGAAGTTCTGGAGCCCAGATTCTGAGTAATACTAGCCATTTATATGACATTGAACAGGTGATGCAGAACATATTTCAGCCGCTGTTATCAGTGAAGCCTCATGATGGAGAAAACTTATTTCAGACAGAGGTCATAGGACTCTATGTTTGTGCACTTGACTTCATCTCTGATCTTGCCTCTCATGATGGGCAGTGGCTTAAGTTGTATTCAGACTTGCTGCAGCATAAACAAGTGCAGATGATACTGGCTGTTGCACTGTATACAGGCGAAGAGAATATTAAACGCCAAGTTCTAATGCTCACTGGTACTGTTGGCTTCCCAGCTGAAAGGTAAATTGTGTTCTCTGTTTGTGTAAGTTTAATTTGAAATGTTTAAAGGACCAGTAACTTAGCCTCTAGTGACACAGTTATGAAGCATGGCTCCTTTACTGTTACTTTAGTCATTTAGAATTCCAGCATTATCATGTGCCATCACACTGAAGGCCAGGAATAGTATGTATGGCTTCATATTTTTATTGCTTACAGTTGTCCTCTTTTTTCAGTTGATATCTGTTATAACTAATTTACTAGTTAATGTCATGAAGCAGAGCCCTTTATAAGTTAATACTCACTAATCAAGAAATCTTTGCCTTTTATGAAAACAGAAGCTTCATTACTGTGTTCACAGGAATGTGCTACTGAACTCTTTGAGCCAAATGAATTCAGTTCACACCATCACACCCTGTTTCATTAAGATCTATTTTATTATTGTCCTCATCTGTGCCTATGTCTTACAAGAAGCCTTTTCCCTTCATGTGTGGTTGGTTGGGTGGTTTCCAACGGCTGCATTTGGCATCATATAACCCATTTTGCTTCTTGCTTTCAGGTATTTCAACCAACATTTTGAACTGATATCTTATCTCATGTGTTATATGTTACAAATCTTGTCTTTCCCCCTCATGATCTGATCACCCTAATAACATTTGTTGAAGGGTACAAATTATGAAGTCCATTATGCACTTTTCTCCAACCTCCTTTATTTTCTCTAAAATATTTTCCACAGCACCCTGTTCTCAAGCACCTCAATTTGTGCCCTTCCCTTAATGTGACAGATTGTTTCACACCCATAAGTAACAATCATCAAATTTATAGTCCTGTATGTTTTTAATCTTTATGTTTCTTGACAGTGAAAGGGAACAAATATTATGAAGTGAATGGTAGCAGGCTGTCCCCAATTCCTTCACAAATGAAATTTTGATTTGTTACTGTTATTCTCCAGTATTTTAACATTGCTTCATTTTCAGTGAACATACTAGGGGGTACCCAAAAGAAACCGAACTTATTTTTTTTAAACTTATTTATTCAAATTTTAAGAACAAACCTTCAATTCCCTTCAAAGTACTCTCCACTTACACTAATACACATGTCTAAATTCATCTTTTGAGATGCTTGACAGCGCCTCTGTCGTTTTTTCCTTTCATGTCTCTTTTCATTCGAGGAAACAAAAAAAAAGTCACATGGGGCAAGGTCGGGTAACCAGCATAATACATGATACATTTAAAGTATGAATGTAAGTTAACTTCATGAAATGAAATTTTCAAAAATGCCACCGCCAGCCGCAACACAGGCTGGCACTCAGTTGTGAACCGCGCGGGTACATACCAACCCACCATGCCTTAGGTACCTCTCAAGTGTCGAGATAACGAGAACGCTCTGTCTGTAGCTGGCTAAAAATAGCGACCCATCAGATGATAGACGCGGTTCACACGAGGGTGTGTACAGGAATGAAAAAATGGTCATAACTTCGTAACCGTCCAAAATCGGACACATGTTTATATGAACTTTTTAGATCACAAAGATCTAGGAAATCACATGCTGCAGTTATGCCCTAAAGTCGTGAAACACTCTGTATATAATGAGCACCAGCTGCCATTAGTGAGTCAGTTTGTGTATAGTCCTGAGACAGCAGTTAGAAGAGTAGGAAGCTGAGATGGCCATCAACCTGCAAGGATGTGAGCCCAGAAGCAGAGGAGTGAAGACTATGAATCAATTGTAAATAAATAGTTGCCACTATTAAAGTTCCAACCGTCCTATATTGGGCTAACATATTATATAGGACATGAACTTGTTATCATTTTAGTTAGTTAATTTCCAAATATTGATTTACATTGTCATAATGGAAACATGATACACACTTCATATAAGGAATATGTAAATGGATAAGAAAATTGTTTATGCAACAGATATTGCTTAATGATTTTACTATTGATATCACAGATGTGTTAACAAAGCCATATTATGTCTTTTAAAAATTTGTAACATGTTTCAGATAACACTGTTCTTTGTACTGTTTGTTCATAGAATAAAACAGTGTACGATGTAATATTAGCCAAAGGTAATATTCAAATTTGCAGTGTGTCATCCTTAGCCAAATCACTATGTGATCTTGAGCCTCTGATGCTTGTATCAAGTACTTCAAAAGCATCTACGGACGGAGCCCAGCAACGTGACATGATGCCGTTATTCAGTCTTGCACAGGAGGGTCGACTTGACAGCTTCATAGCTAAGCTGGAATGCAGTGAGATTCGTGACATTTCCACATCAACAGTTATGGAGCTATATGGATATAAGCTTGCAGCAATTGGTCACTCAGAGAGAGTCCTAAAGGTAAGATAAGATCAAGAGAATTTGAGGAAAAGTGAAAAAGAAAACACAGATGCTGCATATATCTGATTTGTTAAGTCACCGTCAGGACTAACTTGATGAAACAAAACCCAATGAAGAAGTAAGAAATCTATTGCAAGCGGAGAGTATTGCAGATGTAAAGAAATATCAGTTAATTTTGAAACAACATGAAAATTTGTTACAAAGTAGTAAACTACAAAATTAGAATACATACACAATCCCAGTGGACAAAGAGATGTGGGATGACCAAGAAATAAATGGCAAGATTAGTTTTAAAACTTTGTAACATCAGAATATGCTTATAGTACTCAATCCTTTAGCTGGAACAAGAGGTTTTGAGAATTTCATTTTTTAGTCTTTTGTCATTATTTTTTCATTTGCACAGGGCGATTTTGTCTGACTCTTTAAAACTAATGCAACTTGTAAGTGAGCAAGCTTATTTCGTTCATCTTCTGTTCTTAGTACTTGAATACTCTCATTAATGATGAATTTGACCAAATCCAAAAAAGGATTTTCCATATAGAATTAGGTTTGTATACTTCAGCAACACAGGCTGTTGAACATAATTTTCAGCAAAAGGTGACATAAGAATGAAAAGATGGTTGCTTTATTTCTCATTTAATTCATTAACACATTTTTACCTAATTACACATGTGACCAAACCAATACTAAGTATTCCATATTATACTATTGTCTTCCTTATTTTATAAGCATACAACTTTTGGACCAATTGGTGGATTTTTGTGAAACGTTTCCTATTCCTCCTAACAGTTCCAGTGATGTAGGTGCTTAGCTGATGGGGATGGTGGGGAAGTGGAACAGACATGAAATAGTTATTGTTGAAGACATGGTAGGCTTTGTTGAGTTACTCTCCAATCTCAATTTCATGACAGTGTACTCCATGCCATTTTATTTATTTTTTTTTTATGTTGCCCTTGTCTTCCTGAGACCTGGCCCATCTGTATGGGAAAACCCCCAGGCAGTAGTTGGACACAGAGTTGCACAAAATCAAAAATTTTATTCACCCACAGTGGTGGTGCTTGTTGGGCAAACACTGCATGAGACTGGTTTTGTTTGTCGTACCTACCAGGCTTTTGTCAGCACTAATTTCTTGATGAGGGGTGTAGTGGAGTGTGACTACCCTGTTTGCATGGTCCACCAGGGGTTGGTACCTTATGCTTGGATCATAGTCTGGTTCTCCATGGCCCTGCAATCCTTTGTTATTGACGGTAGAAGAAGTGCAGCAAGTGGGAAAAGCGATGCCTAGTAAACATTTTCCCTAACCATGGGGTGGTTTGGGAACAGTGGACCAGTATGATGCTATGGTTGTCTTTATAATAATGCCCATATTTAGAATACAGGCTATGAATCCCTTCATCTTGTACATGGTAAGTCTGATTCAGTTTTTTAGTGGAGTGGGAACATTACCTGCCTCACTGCTAATAACTTGCTGTGCATATCTGTTGGATTCTCTCACCATGAGGGTAAGGATCAAGTGTATGAAGAAAAAATGGAAGTAAGCAATAAGAGGAGGCATATGCTTAGGTCCAGGTAGTTCTTGGAATTGGAAAGAAAGAGGGAGAGGTTGCTCAGGGGACAGAATTTCTCTGTACTCTTCACCATATGTGTCATCCTCTTCACTGTTAGACACAGGGTGAGCAGCTTGGGGTGTGGCATGTGGTGCATCTTCTTCACTGGTATCATTAGTGTCACATTCTGAAATAAAGTCAATATTACTGTCAGTTGTATTTAAATATTCCAGTGTGTCAGAGAGTCATCTAACCTAGAGCTTGAACCAGTCATTTTCTAGGTAAAAATGTAAAATAACAAACTATATATACCACAAACTCTTAAAAAATGTAGTGAAAATATATAACTTTATTATAAAAAATACCACCACTAAAATATGATATATTCACATTAAAACAACTAAAACCACAGATCAAGAAAGCATTGCAACACCAATTAAACATTTGAGCTCAACATATTTCATTTGTTTCAAAAACATTTTTTTGTCAGCAAAGGGAGCAATCTGGGTGCAGAACTGTGAAATAAACCTTGAAGAATTGGGTACCTTCTGTTCTGTGACCTTTGAGCCATTTATGTAACTAAAAGAGCATGATTTAGATGGAGCCAGTAGATTGCCTGCAGTAGTGTTCTAGCCATTATCTGATAGGCTGAGTCTATATATGGGTTAAAAGTGCCATCTGCACAACTTCCCAGTCCCTTGTTCCTACTGGCCCAGACAAGGCACCAGTCCCCATTCTTTCTCCTCCCTTTCCACTGTTGCTTTTCAAAACAGAACCGTGTGCATGCAGACACAGAAACTCACCCACCTATGCACTTCAACCCTCAAGATGGAGGTTGTGTGTACCTCCAAACATCAACATCACCCAGATCCACATGGTGTAACAACACAATAGATTAACTTCAGTAATCAACCTCTGTGAAAGCCTAAAATTAGTCATGAAATTTATTGTTGAAAACACTGCTCCATGGGGATTGAGTGGGTAATAAAATTCTGTGATATATTATTTTTATAAGTCTTGAAATCATCATCATCATCATCAGTAATCTGTCAAGACGACAGGTCCACAGTCTCTTTCAAAACAATTCCTCCACTTCATGCGATCTAGAGCTTTCTCCTTCAAATGACAGTATCCTCTTCTGTCCCCAAGGTCATCCAGCATCTTCTTACGTCTTCTTCCTCGTCTTCTTGTCACTTCTATCCGCCCATCTATCTTTCCTTCGATAGCTTCTTTTAGAAGGCAGTTTCTGCGTAAAACATGACCAATCCAATTAGCCTTCCGTTTTCTTATTTCATGTAGGATATTCCTCTGCTCACTGACTCTAATTAACACTTCTTCATTTCTCACATAATCGGTCCAACTGATCTTCTCCATTCTTCTCCAACACCACATTTCGAAACTTTCCAGATGTTTCTGATCTACTGCCCTAAGTGTCCATGTTTCAGCCCCATACAGAGCTATGCTCCAAATGTAGCATTTCACTAGTTTCTTCCTCAAATTTAAGTCCAATTTGCTGGTAAAAAGATTCTTCTTCTTGCTAAATGCAGCTTTTGCCATGGCAATCCTGGATTTAATTTCACAAGTACACCTTCCATCATCTGTTAACAAGCTACCCAAATATTTAAAACATTTCACATTCTCCACTTGTTTTTGGTCTATCTTTATTGTGACTGGGGTTGGTTGTCTCGAAATTTTCATTACTTTTGTTTTCTCCACATTCATTTCCATGCCATAGCACCTTCCAATTTCAATTAGTCTATCAATCATGCCCTGTAGCACAGTTTCTTCCTTAGCCATTAACACAAGGTCATCTGCATATTTCACAGTTTGAATAATTTGCCCTCCTACTTTGAAGTCACCGAGCCCATCCAGAGCTTCCTTGGTAAGGCATTCGCTGTACAAGTTGAACAGAATTGGTGATAAACAGCATCCTTGTCGAACTCCTCTTCCAATCTGCACACTTCCTGTCTCCCCCGTGTCCAGTCGTACTCTAACTTTCTGATCCATGTACAATTTGCTAATCAATCTTCTTTCATGCCAATCGATACCTGTTTCTTTCAGGATCTGCATTAATTTGGTCCAGTTTACCCGGTCAAATGCCTTCTGCCAGTCTATGAAGCAAACACACAGTTCTTCATCTATCTCCAAAGTTCGTTCCGCTATAATTCTCATCATCCCAATTGCATCCCTGGTTCCTTTTCCTCTTCTAAATCCAAACTGATCTTCTCCAAGTACATCCTCTATTTTCCTTTCAATTCTTCTTTTAAGTATCTTTGCTAGTATCTTTGCTGTATGTGCAATAAGACTTATTGTGCGATGGTCGCTGCATTTTGTAGCTTTTGTCTTTTTCTTTAAGGCAATCATTGTAACTTCTGTAAAGTCCTTGGGCCACTCTCCACTTTCATATATGGTGTTCATTAGTTTTGTCAGTGTTTTCAAACCACCTTCTTGAAATATTGTCATTCATTATTTCCTTTCATCCTGTCAACACCCTGAAGATTCCATGCAATGCTGCTGAAAGAACCAGGCAAGTAACATTGCTATGTCATTTGAATGAATATTATTTTTGTGCCATTGATACTTTTCCATTATTCTTACTTCAGTTGTTACAGTTATCTTTGTCATCACTGATGGTTCCATCAAGGCGAGTCATCTTGTGACAAATCCTTCTTCATATTGTATATAATGTCCACTCCTTCCTTACTCTATTTTTATGATTGGCGCATACCATTGTGCACACATGCCTGTAAGTATGTTACATAAATGAGTAATGTCATCCTTGAAAAAAGAATTTCTTGAGCATAACTTAAAATGTCTCATTTTATTTATTTCCACATTTGAGACAAGCCTGGAGGCAGCAAACAATCATTCAACACATTTGCACCATCGGCTGGCACAGATGAGTGCAGAGGCAAGCAGACTCTACCAGTTGTTGTACCACAATCAGCAGTGCCTTGAAGGTCTCCGGCAGGAGAAAGATGCATCCATTTGCAGGCTGGAGGCAGCACAATTGGCAGCAGAAGAAGAACATAGGAAACATGTTACTGTATGTATAAACATGCATGTTAAACATCTGCTCTCTTCAACTGAACACAAGGCAATTTTCTGGGATGTATAGAAATAAACATTATTTTCACTGATTGTACACTCAATATTCAGCCGTTACTGAACATCCCATTCAAATGGTTAGCACTTTTGTGTGCCTTTAAAAGGTTCCCAGTTCTGAGCTCAGCCTAGAGACTGGCTATCCTACTTGTTCCCTTTCCCCTCCCCTCAGTTACCCAAGGAAAATGTTGGGAGCTGTCTCAGTCAGACATGATTATTTCCGTGTCCTTTCAAATTTACTATTTGTTATTCACGTTGCCATTTTTTGTCTTAACTATTGACATTGTTGTAAATTCAATTATTTTGTTTCTTCTGTCTTGGTTCACACTGTATTAACCTTTAAACGCCGGACTTTTGAAATGGTGGTAAGCTTGAGCTGGCCGGAGTTTATTTAAATGCCCGCTGCTGGTGCACGTTTAAATTCCCGTTGCTACTCTGCGATTAAATGTCTGTTCCTCTTAGGGCGCTTAAATAATTTTAAGCATTGTGTTTAAAAATACTGTATCTAACTCAATTTTTATGATAAATGGATGGAATTAACTTTGTTTGTATCAGCAAAGGACATAGTTTCGCATATTATAACAGAAGATTTGAAAATTTGTATACAAAGAGTTATACTCTATTTTCAGTTTTTTTTTTTTAATTTTGATGTGTACTGCAAAAAATGGTTTCCCAGTTCTTCACAGAGTTCTGCATTATAGATTTATTTCTGTTTGTAACCCTTGACAAATTTAGCAGTCCCTGATGTCATAAAACAGATGTTCTGCTAGCACTGCTTACACCCTTCGGATTTTCGAATCTTTTGACTGAAGGACAGAAGAATGAAAGAATGGCTATTCAAGAAAAGCTAGAGGGGTCCCTTCTTCAGTGCTAAAACCTTCCATTATAGCTGCAAGAAATTATTGCCCTTTCTAGGGTCATGAACAGACAATTGCATCATGGCTGAGATACAGAGTGTGATCTATTTTCTGTGCATTCATAGTGAAATCGAATACTGTAGTTTCATTCCAGCCTATATATACATCAAGCAGATAATAACAAAAAAGGTATGTGCATTGAATTTTACTATATATTTTTAACGCATTAATCTGCAGAATCTGCAATAAAAGTACTGGTTCTTGGACGAGTTTGGGCATAACTCATACGTATATTCTTTTTTGCTGTTGTTCACTTAGGTATCATTTTAATTCCTCTATTATGGTTTTACTCAAGTCTGTCTGGTAATTACTACATTAAAAATAAATATTTAGGACTTTGCACGCACTTCCACTAGCAGAGTTTAAATGCCCGACTGGCCAAAATGGGGTACTTTGGCCATGACGACCATACTCATCACCGGCCTGATCGGGGTACTTTGGCCATTAAAGGTTAAGAGTGAAGTGATGGGCCACTAATGGTGGTAGTGGCCTCACTGCCATTAGTATGTGTCATCTGTAACACTTGTTACTAATTATAACCCAAAAATACATTGCCTTGGAACTGAAGTGAACAGTAGCATGTGCATATGAACATAGATGAATAGATGTGACCTCCCCATTGTGTATTTATTTTATGCATTTCTACCAAAGATCCCAAAACATATCTTTTCTCATGAAATGCAAATGGATGGTCATATATACATGACTTCCCCATTATGCGCATTGTGTTCATAAGAATACATGAAAGTACTGATTTATGTAGGAAACTGATCCTGAATAGAACTGAAATTCATGGACTATATTACATATAAGATTTCAGGTTTTCATAGTGGTGGTTATGAAGAGCTATATCATCTGGGATATAATACCATGTAAAAGTAAAAGTAAAGGTACGCCTGTAACAGGCCGTGGAGACCTATAGGGTTGTGAGATGTTGAGGTTCCCACATTTTCTAGACAGTCGGCTCATAGATGGCGGCAAGGTTATCAGCCCTAGGCGCCAGCTGCCCTTTACCCTCAAGAATATTCCTAGTACTCATTTCTGTTGGAGGCTGAATCGACCCCAGGGCCATAGTGCGGCTGCAAGGATTAGGTCAATTGAAAAAATTCAGTGACCTCATCAGGACTTGAACCCGCAACCTTTTGGCTTCTAGCATATTGCCTCAACCAACTACACTACCATCTGGTTAAAGTCAACCAATGTGTCAGCCTCCAAATTCATGTTCGAAGATGAAGGCAACAAATTCCTTTGACATATCAGTTGACTTTCACCAGATTCTACAGTGTCATGTACCAGAAGACAGAACTCTTTACATTACATTTGTTCCAGGATACAAAAGCGAAACAGCGACAAGTAAGTGATTTGAATGCAGCAATAGAAGAACTGAAAAGAACTGTAGTCATAAAAGAAGAAGAGTTGTCACAGACAAAGCAACATTTGGATATAATGACCAAGCAAACTGAGGAATTACAGTCTCATTTTATGCTGATAGAACAGAAATACAAAGATCAGCAGTCCAAGAATTCAGGTAATACTTCTAAGCTTTGACTTAAATTTCAAATGTTTCCATCTCTATGGTATTCTTGTGTGTTATCTTGTCTACCTTATATTTATTTCTTTTTTCCCGAATATCAGTGAAGTCTTGTAGGCTTATCAGTCCTGTTGTAATTATCATCACTGATGGGGCTGTGGAAAAATGGGGGTAGTTTAGTGTCACAGTATTGTTACACCCAACCACCTAGACAGTGTGTAATGCCACTACAATAGTGTGACACATGGATAATGACACTTTAACCTGTATGGCATTTAAAGTAATCATTACTTTATGGAGCTATGTGACTGACAAGATGCCTTTAGTGATCAGAATCTTTTGTCTTCTTGTCTGCTGTATAAAATCATAAAGACTAAAATACATGTAAACATAAAAGAAAAAGGTAAATTTGGCCCCGTGCTTAACTAATTGAGCATAATGCCATGAAGACATGTGGGGGAGTGGAGCTGTAGCTGCACCATTCTTGACCTTGGCTCTAGAAGGAGGTGAGTGGTCAGTTTCATGCTCCAGCATCTTTATCCCTGGGGAAAGAACCCCTAGAACCCGTTGGATAGGTGTCTGAGTGGACACAGAACTGGTCTGAATTCTGTGAAGATGAGAAAAATCTCTTGCCACTGCCAGGAATCACACTCCCAGCCATTCAGCTTGTAGTCCGTCACTATACTTACTGAGCTATCCTGGCTCCTTTAAAATATGTATACAAAACTAGTTTTGTCTGTAGTTTTATATTGGTGCGAAACTTGATCTCTGACATTAAAACATAGTTGGAGGATGTTTGAGAACAGTGCTGAGGATAATATTTGGACCAAAGAGGGATGAAATAACAGGACACTGGATAAAACTGCATGAGGAGTTTCATAACTTGCACTTCTTGCCGGTTAAAATTAGAATGATCAAATCATGGAGGGTGGGTGGGCAGGGCATGTAGCATACATGGGAGAAAAGAAGACTGCATACAGGGTTGTGGTGGAAAGACCAGAAAGAAAGAGACAACTATGAAGACATAGATGGGAGAATAATATTAAAATGGAGCTTATAAAAATAAGATGGTACTAATTTGGTTCATCTAGCTGAGAGCAGAGACTAGTGGATGGCTCTTGCTAACATGGTAATTAACCTTTGGATTCCATAAAATGTTGGGATAATCTTGAATATGTGAGTGACTTTTGGATTCTCAAAGTCTCAGCTCCATGGCCATAGACAGAGAAGGTTTTATATGATGTATTGCTCTTGTTTCAGAGTTGACAAGAACACTTTCTAAACTAGAAGAGAGAATTGTTAAAAGAGAGAGAATTATAGAAGAAAAAGGAAATGAAATAGAGAAGTTGCACAAAGTAATACAAAACTTAGAAATGGTAAGTAACTCTGAATATTTCAAGATTTCTGTTTCTGTGGCACTGTTATTGAGAAGTAACAGAACAGAACTTTCTGACTCAGGTATACAAATAGACCAGTCATGTACATAATTATTTTTATGGGTTATGACACTCTCAGTATCTAGGCTGTATTAAATTGGATGGTGGGATAACCGATTGAAAAGATCTGGGAGAGGTGAGGAGGGCTCTTGTGAACACGGTAATGAACCTTCAGGATCCATAAAATGCTGGGAAGTTCTTGAGTAGCTACACAATTGGCAGCTTCTCAACAAGGGCTCAACTCCATGGATGAGTGAGTAAGATTTGAGAATGAACTGTGTTAATAAGCACGTTCTGAATGTATCACCTGCATATACCATTCTGTAGTGTGTTTTTTATTTTTAAAATGCCAATGTAGTATTAGGACGGTGCCAGTACCAGGTGATTTGTCATCATAACCTGTTCTCATCACAGCATTATAAGAAATATCTATGACAATGATCCTCTCTGCAGTAAAACCTTGTCAATTCAAAGTGCTTGAGACCACTAATGCAAATTTGGAATTAAATAAATTAAAATCATGCCACTATCAGTATGAATTTACCTGTTGATCACAGAACCTGATATTAGTGATGTTGGCATTGTCACTAGTTCTAGAATTGCAAGAAATGTCATTTTTATGACAGATGCTTATTTTATCCTAAACTATAATCACAAATTCAGCTTAAGCATTATATACGTGTCACAATTTAATTTCTCTGATGTTGTAATAGCATTGTTTATGAAGACGAAGTCATTTTTTTATTTGTTTATTTGTGCATTCACGGCATTTACAATGCTGCCACCCACATTTATACATATAGCTATGAAATTTGGCATTGATAATTCTGTTGGACCAGACAGAACTAGCTGATTCAACTCACTACCTCTTCTAAGACTCCACTCTGAGCCTGAAGTGACATTTCTTTCAACACGACTATCTGTGGACAGTTCAAGACAGTCCACATAGAAGTGGAAGTGTAGAATTCACTTGCCCTTGCAACTGTCTCCAGTCAGTGTTGTCTTGTCTTCCTGTTCCTTCATATGTATGGTTTGCATCCTGTTGCATATGTCACTGCTATGTAAGTTTTCATTGATCCTGTTTCTTGTCAAATTTGTCTGTGCTGATACCACCTTTGGCAACAAGTACAGGTAACTGTAGAGTAATACCTTGATATACAAAGACAATATGTTCCTGGAGTTATGGTTGTATACTGAATAACTTTTATTGATAACATACCTTACTTTTCATTCATATAAATAAACATTTCTTGCCATTGTCATTACTGAAACAACTCAGGGACAACTTTTGCTGGATCTTATCTTCAACCCATATTACTCCTATTCCCTCATCTTTTCCATATGTAAATTTCTGTGTAAGTTAACTCTGAAATAGTTAACAGAACACCAGATTGACCAGTGTGTTCAACTTCATCACTGTTATTCAGAAATATTTTAAACCAGAAAAACTATCAGCATCCACCTGATACTAGGTTTTGTTAGATGAAAAACTTCCAGTTAGTAGTGTTTTCATTATATGGCTTATCTTGACTTTTTTTGCTGCTCTGCCATGACCACCACTATTTGATTTTTTTATGCATACCAGGTTTAGGTTCAGATCAATGTAGCTCTTTCACACAAAATGAAAGTGACAATAGATCACAACTGACAGCAGTTTCAAAATGTACATAGTGCATTCCTGGGTATTCACTTGCCCAGGGAGATATAAACATATATTTTGCACTTGTGGATGGATAGGTAATTGGATTTATTGGACTCTTACAGATTCATGACTACAATTGCTTATAACCATTTCACTAATTCACACACTTTACAGTTCACTAGAGCACACACTTAAGTCCTCTCAGTCTGCTGTGTCTTCACCAATCTTCTGGTAATGGCTTCCAGTGGTGGACAACTTTACTCAGACTCTCCACATCAGGAGATCAGACTTTTGCAACTACATATTATAGCTGCATTTATACAAGAAGTCTTGCATGATCTCAGCCAACCTTGGTCTTTGGCAGCTTCCAGGACCATCCAGAAGGGGGAAGCATTGGCATTTCCCAAAAGAGGAGGTCCCTCCCCTCACTCACACAACACTAATTTAAATTGTTCATATTCCTCGTATCCATGAGTTACTATTCTGAATCATAAATTAACCATATTTTGAATATTTGCATCAAGAAGCACATTGTTATGTTCCAGGATGTTAATTGACAATTACTTCAAACTATACAGGATTTTGAATTATGCAGTATTGAATTAATGAAATTTTACTGTACAGTTTGACTTTCTTTCTTCCACATGTAACACTGGTATATGGATCACATTCATCTTTCATTGTTACACAGTTATTAATATACAGTAATACAGGGAATTCATGTGCTACTGAGGTGCTTCTCACTGTACAGCATGTAAACTTGCAAAGTGTCTTTCAGTATTGGATAGATACCTGTAGACCTGGCTGTAAGGAACACATGTAATAGTGAGATTTTTCTTTTATGCAGTCTTATGTAAATCTTTTTATTTCTTTTTCATCCTTTATTCTTCTCTCTAATTTCTGGATGCTGTATTTTTACCTGACAAGATTTGTATATATAAATTTGTGTTTATGCATTGCAGGAGTTGACCAACTACAAAATGTTGTGTAAAGCTCAGGAAAAGAACATTATGGAAAAGGAGGCAGAGATGACTGCAACACAACAACAACTCAGTGAACTTCAGCGCATGAGGGAAGTGATTTATGAGATTTCAGGGGGAAAAAAGAAAATGGACAAGTAATCCATAGCTGCTTACTGACAGAACGGCTTAAAATTATGAGTGGTGTCATATATATATATATGTTTTTATACTTTGTATAATGAACATGGTGCTTTATTCTTACAAATAGTGTCACATATTTCTGTGTGTGACTATAGATGGGGTTTTGGATTACTGAATTTCTTGAAAACTTACAGGATTTACTACAAACAGCTATAACACTATCACTATTTCTACATTTTACAATTCACTGTTACACAAACTTGTGTCCTCAGTCTGTTATGGTGTCCACTATACGTTTTCTGGCAATGAATTTTAACACAGTCTCACTGAATTATACACTCCAAATATCACTGTACTACAGCACATATAAACTCTTCTCTTCACAGCCTGACTGACAACTGAACCCCAATTCACTAGCTTCTTTCTTTTATTACCATTTCATACGGACTGAAGAGAAAACATCATGCCCAACAATTCCTCTACTGTTGCGTGCGTATCCATTGCTGCGGAAACTTGTTTGCCTAGCCGTTGCCTAGTAATGGACATCTCCTCTGGCTCCACTATTCTGGCCTTCAGGCATCATATCACAATATATATTTTATTTGTGTACAGGAAAAGAATATGGAACTTCCAAAACTCCTCAGTCACATTGTTACTGTCATGATTCATGCAAGTTAATTGGAAAAATTATGCCTTTTAATGTGTGTTCGTAATGAAAACCCATAAATTGCATGGAAAGTAAGGAAAATATTAACTCTTTAAGTGATGTGGCAGTCATCTCTTAACTTCCACATGAGTGAAAATTTTCACTTTTATACAAAAAAATGATATATTTACAAAGCTGTAGACTAAAACCAAAGTATATATAACATCATTAAAGCCAAATTTGTCAGTATGTGTTATAGTTAGCATCCTACAGCTACACACATCACAAAAGAATATAACCAACACATCAACAAAACATACACCAGACTCACACGTACAAATAAAGAAAAACTGCATGATAATCTATAAATAGTATAAAATAAAATATTTTAGAAGCATTTTACATCAGAATGAAAAGCAGAACAGCATGACAACAGAGTAGCAGTTTCCTTTGGTTCAGCATTTTGTATGCCTGATGATAGCCAGTTAGGCTGAAATGTGTAGTGTTGTATAATGAGAACAGATGAAGATGGTGAAGTGTGAATATTAATATACGTAGGTCATTTCAGAAATAATGCACACAATTTTTTGTTTATGTCCATGTTTATTTTTTTTTAGTATCTCTTTACAGTCCTTCAGTATAGTCCCCCTGCTTCTCAATGACCGAGTCCCAACGTGTGGGAAGCTTTACTATTCCATCCAGGACACCATCTTTGTTTATCTGTTGAATGGCTTGGGTAACTGCAGCAGAAAGCTCTTCCAGAGAGGGAAAACAATGGCCTCGCATAGGTTGTTTCAACTTTGGGAATAAGTCGAAGTCTGATGGACTCATGTCCAGGCTGTAGGGAGCATGAGGCAACACCTCCAAACTGTATTGGCGCAGCTTTTCTGTTCCAACATTCCCGATATGCGGGCGAGCATTGTCATGGAGAATGATTGGCCCAGCCTCGAGCAACTGAGGTTGGTTTTTGTGCATTTTTCTGCGCAGATTTTGCATGAAGTCACTATAATAAACTGCTGTGACACTTTTCCCACACGGAACTCTGCCTGTCATGATGATTCCTTGGTGATCATAAGCAAAGATCATCATTGTTTGACCTTTCATTGAGATTGTCGAAATTTTCTTGGTCGTGGGGAAGATGGACCTCTCCACTCATTGGACTGTGATCCAGCTCCGGTTCAAAGTCTCTAACCCACGTTTCATCAATAGCGACAAGTCGATACAAGAATGCTTGACCTTCAATGTCGAATCTTTGTTTCAGCAAGGTTGCAATGTTGAGGTGTTTCTGCTGCTGCTTCTGTTCAGCAGTCAAGCAGTGAGGGACCCATTGCACAGAAATCTTTCTCTTCTTTAAATCATTTGTCAGAATTCGGAATATTGACGTTGGTGGAATCCCCGTGGTTTCGGAAAGTTCCTCACATGTCGCACGACGATCTTCTTCAAGAGCATCTGACACAAGTTTCACACTTCGTTCATCTGTAGGTGTTTTCGGCATTCCTGGCCTTGGATCATCATTTATTCTCACACGACCGCCACAAAAACGACTAGCCCAGCGAGAAACTGTACTACGGTCCACTGTTGACTCGCCACAAACTTCACTTAAAGCACTGTGGATTTCTGTCGGGTTTTTTCCACGTAAAGTTTTGATCTTAATGTATGACCTTTGATCTTCAACAGTCACAATACCTGAGAACCCTGCAGGCTCAATTTTTAACTCACGTTATTTAAGAACAGAGTACATCATAAATGAAACAAAATAACGCGCTTCTTTCTCAAGCCCTGAACTGTAACTGACATGAGGCTCACTGTTGTTTCATCATCTAATCCGCAGTGTTGCCAGCCTGTCCATTATTTATGAAATGACCCACGTATCTATGAAGTTGCACAAAGACAGCGACAAGTGAGAGCATGAAGTTAGAATACCCAGTGCAACAGGATGCTGCAGTATAATATTATCCTACAAGTAACTTCAGAGCTTCATATATTTGGAGCAAAAATGGGCTGTCTGTCATTTACCTTCTCTCCTTGAATTTACACAGAAAATACCTACAATCATAAGCGCCTGAGGTAAAATGTTTCCGCAAAAAACCACATTGAAAATATATTGTGTGACTTATAAAACGTGTTTTGGATTTGATGATTGAATTTATTGGACCTTTACATTTACATTTATTTTCACTTCATCAATCCAATCATGTCCCCGTAGGGCTGGATATAAAACATGTCACATATTACAAATTCATGATGACTACACATCATTCGTGCTTTGTTTTTCCCAAAGACCCTATACTCCAGCAATTTATACAAATGAATCCTACACAAGAAATATACAACCTTTAGAAATAACTCAACCCAGAAGCTATGCAGAAATCACAAAGCAAAATTTATCCCAAACAGAAGAAACAACTAACATACACTCAACTCTCAATTATCCGGGATAATGGTGGGGATGGAAATCACGATTAATCGAAAACCTGGTTTAGACAAATTTTATTAAAAGTAGTACTGTAATACTGTACCTTCATAATACTATAGGCCTACCTGTATTTAAATTTATTCAACCTCGTTTTTATGTCATGTCGTGGCCTATGTAATAATTTTTTTACATTACACAGAAGTATGATTAGTTATTTCAATCACAGCGTTCAACAACATCCAACACTTTTTACGAATATTCACACTTAACACTTAAAAAAAATTAATATTGCCATTTGCTTTTTCGCGGCATTTTCCTTTTTATGGATATCTGTACGAAGCCTACGTAATATTAGCCTGTCACTTAATAAACTCTTCTCTTCACTCTCAAGATAGTCTGGTAAGGATTCCAAATGATTAAGAGCAGCACCATGTGATATTTTCATACTAGCAGCAGCATCCACATCTTCTTCATTCTCATTTTCTTCCTGCTCTTCTGGCTGCACCCCCACTGCTTAACATTTCGAAGTCTGGTTCACACGAGTTTCTGTTCAATACTTATCACAACACACTTCCTTTTACACCCTGACATTTTGCTAATGCACTTGAAGATTGATACAAAGAGACTAACATGTGCGGTCTATCTATCCTTGAAACTTTCCACAAATCCTTGCATTCTTTCACCCCTACCCTACAACATTGTGTTAGCATAATGGGACCAAAAAATTCAGAGCTTGATTCACACTAGTGTGAAAACAGTGTTACAACTCGCCATGTGAAACAAAAGTGAATGAATATTAAACAACATATAAGCCTCAAAAAAGCCCTGGTTAAGCCGCAAACCGGTTTATCCACCCCCGGATAATCGAAAGTTGAGTGTACTAGCAAATTCCTAGACGAATTAAAAAATTTAATTCAACAATTATTACAACAAAATATTGTGGTACTAAACATGCTAACAACACTCGTCAACAAAACAAAATAAATGGCCGAATTCCTAAGAACAGCCCAATGGAACGCCAATTGAATTCCAAATCATCAAGAAGATATACAAATATTTCTAAACATAAACTCAATTGACTTCCTACTAATCAGCGAAACTCACTTCACCAGCAGAAGCTACTTCAGTATCCCCAAATACAAACTTTACCACACAAACCACCCCAAAGACACAGCCCACAGAGGCATGGCAATCCTAATCAAAGAAAAAATCAAACATCATGAACTACCAAAATATGAAAAACATCACATACAAGCCACTTCCATCAAAGTCAAAACATTTCCTTAAGCTTTCACCATTACCGCAGTCTATTTGTCCTCCCCGCTATAACCTCGAGAGAAACCACTTCGAGTCATTCTTCCAAATCCTGGGTACAAAATTTATAGCTGACGGAGATTACAACAGCATTTTGGGGCTCAAGACTCATAACAACAAAAGGCAGAGAACTACACAAGACAATCCAAAATAACAATTACTCCATCATATTGTCATGTGTTAGGTGTATGTCATGCGACAAATAACTTCACGCCGTTTTGGATCTAGCAAATTTATTCCACTCGCTCTTACAATTACAAAGCTACTGCCATCGGCACTATCACAATTACATCTTCTGCTGTAGTCGCTGCCATGCACTCGATACAACCCGACTCAGCGACTGCTAGATTGAAACTGCATTCGGCGACTTCACGATCCACACTGTGTCACTCCTAATCACACTCTCGTCACATACTGCTCAGCTGGCTTTTTATACCGTTCCCTGTTGCCTTGTGTTACCAGCGTTGTCCCCTGTTACGTCACTGCAGGGGAGGGGGACAGGGTGTTGATTGGCCTGTTACCGTAGCAGCAGCAGCACTCCGATGCTGTTACTTCACCACTGGCAGTGGAGGGGGTGTCCTGCATAGTGCAAATACGTCACACTCTCAACTGGAACACGAACATACCGGCCCACCGATGAAAATAAAATTCCTGACTTACCAGACTTCTTCATAACAAATGGCATCTCTCCTGACTACACAAACGCAACTGCAAACCTTGACCTAACATCGGACCACACTCCGATCTTTGCAACAATAAGTGCATCAGTTATACTAAGGAAATCCAAGCCCAGACTTCACAACTCCAAAACAAACTGGAATCTCTTCAGGAAAATAATAGAAGACAACACAAAACTAAAAATTAAGCTGAAAGAACCAACCGACATAGAAAATGAATGTAAAAAGTTCATCACCCTACTACAAGAAGCCGCCAAAATGGCAACCCCCATATGTGATTCAAAGAACCCTACAAATAACATACCATGAAGAATAAAAAAATTAATAGCCGAAAAGAGAAGAGCTGGATCAACCTGGCAGAGGACTCACACTCCGGAAAACAGAGCAAAATACAACAAAATTAGCAATAAGCTAAAAATGCAATTACAAGAATTAAAGAATGAATCATTCGAGAACAATATTGCAAGTCTCACAAGACAAGACAATTCCATCTGGATACCAATAAAAAAAACAAAAGAAAGCCCATATCAGCATCACCAACAATATGCAAATTCACATCACCCCCAGGAAACTGGGCAAGAAGAGACAAAGAAAAGCCAACCTATTTGCACAACATCTACAAGAAGTATTCACTCCACCAAACAATAATCAAATACAAGAAGTAAACTTACCTCTAAATGAACCCATACAAACACACCAACGACCAAAGGTCTTTACCCTAAAGGAAAATGCAAGAAGCAATAAACACTCGTAAAGTCAAAAAAGGCACCAGGCCATGATAACATCACAGCCATAATACTAAAACAGTTACCAAGAAAAGGTGAAATAAAACTGCTATACATATTTAATGCCATACTTAGACTGGACTATTGGCCTCATCTGCTCAGAATCGCCCAAATATATAATGATCTTGAAACCAGGCAAAAATCCAACTGATGTCACATCTTAATTGCCAATAAGCCTTCTACTGACAATTTCAAAAGTCCTCGAAAAACTAATATTCAACAAAATAAATCAAGAATCAAACCCATAAACATGGATACCAAACCACCAGTGTGGTTCTCGACAAGCCTACTCAATCATCCATCAAAGCCATTGCATAGCAAGTATCATAACAAACAATACTGCACAGCAGCATTTTTAGATATAGCCGAGCCTTTTAACAAAGTCAGGCATCCTGGCTTACTTTACAAAATAAAAAGAATCTTCCCAACAAATTATTACAACCTATTCAAGTCACATTTAAGTGAAAGATTTTTCAAAGTCAAAATAAATGAGGAAATATCCAACTGCCTACCATTCCACTCAGGGGTGCCCCAAGGAAGCTTACTAAGCCCACTATTATACACTCTCTATACACATGATCTATCCACAAAAAAAAAACGATAATAGGTACTATTCCAGATGACACTGCTATCTTCACTACCCACGACAATCCAATCACAGCTTCCTCTCATCTACAAGATCATCTAATCCTCATAGAAGGATGATTAAATAAATGGAAAATCAAGGTAAATGAATCAAAGTCCACACAAACAACTTTCGCCCTCCAAAAAGGCACATGCCCCCCAGTGCAAATAAATCACATCAACATACAACCAAAACAGGTCAAATACCTAGGATTAACCTTTGACAACAAACTAAACTGGAGACAACACATAATCAAGAAAAGAAAACAGATGGACCAAAAAACCAAAGAACTCAACTGGCTCATAGGGAGAAAAAACCACCCCTCTATCGAAAACAAGTTACTAATCAAGAAAACAGTCATCAAACCTATATGGACATATGGCATAGAACTCTGGGGCTGTACCAGCAATTCCAACATTGCCATTATACAACGTGCCCAGTCTAAAATACTCCGAACCATCACGAACGCACCATGGTATGTATCCAACCACTCCCTACATACAGATCTAAAATCTCCTTACGTAACAGAAGTCATCCGAGAAAACAGCACCAAGTACTTCAACAAAGTAGAAAATCACTCCAAACCACTTCTTCAACCACTACTACAACCTCACCAAAATCGAAGACTCAAAAGAATTTGGCCACCAGATTTAAGGAACTGAGGAAAACACCAATGGATGTTTATTCCGCTCATGCCATGAAGAGTGTACAATATATATATATATATTATATTGTACACCAATCAGCACATTGACTTACACATTGTACAATCTGATTGTCAATAAAGGAGAGCGAAAAAAAATGCTACACTGCTCCCTCCTTGAGGCTCTTTGTCCCGAATGGCCTACAGGCATACAATTTCTTCTTTTCTGCAGGCTGTGCTTAAATGTCTGTGATTGGTCTCACATTTCTCCCCCTGTGGCTCAGTTCTCGCAATGATTACTCTCCAAATCCTCCCTCCTTAAGGCTGATCGTTTAGAGCGGTTCCCACATAGGGTGCAAGTCAGTCCAGGTGTACTATCAACTCTCTTTTCCACATCATGACACACAACAGGATGCAAACAATAAAAATCCTTCTTTAGCTGGTGTGGGCTAACTATCTAGAACGACCAGTGCTCCTGCATCTCTGGCTTTTACTCTATGTGCAGTCTCTTCGTTCATTTCAGAGGGGGCCGACCCCTCCGCAATGTCCTGACATTCGTTTTCCAAATCCTGACAGAAAGTTTGAATTTTCACTTCACAGTCTCCAGCATAAGAGCCTTCCTGAGGATCCTACCAGATGTCCTCTTGCTTCCTAAATGTAGTTGCTTTTTTCAGCCTGTTTCTTATGTTGTTGCATTCTGGTTGTGCCCAATGTCTCTTCCCAAACATGTCCTTTCTGGTTTCCTTGTACAACACCACTCTTGCGTGGTCCCTAACGACTGTGTCCCTTGTGCAATGCAGGAATGGCACAGTGGGTTGTCCCTCTGTGGGCAGCAGCCAACTTCATCTGAGATCCACCATTGCCCTGGGTCCATTTCTTCAGCTGTCGGCAGCGCCTTATGACTAGATGCTGATCCACATACTGCTTTTGCAGTGCTCTGACAGTTTTCACTGTGGCATCTTCTTTAGAGGCCTCCTCATGCACTGCTACAGACTTCATTTACGCTGGATTTGCCTCCATCATTTCTGGATAGGCCTCCATTACTTCTCGGTCAACCTTCATCTTTTTTCACCATCCATTTACATGGACTCCCATCCTTTGATGATGGGCATCTAACCTGGCCGTCATCTTTTCGTGGCCAGCTTTCATTTCAGCCATCAGCTCCTTGTGGCCAGCTCTTAACTGTTCAAGAGAGGCTTTGATATTCACTATGGCAGTTAGCAGCACTGTCAAACTGGCCATAATTATCTGTCATGTAGTTCACAATCCAACAATGTGCCAAATCTGATCCAATAAATGGAATCCAATCTCACTTCTGCCACTAGTATTCATGTATGGAGTGACTACAGATGGGGTTTTAGATAATTGGATTTATTGACAACATACAAATTGTAACTACAAATAACTATATACTATCGCTGATTTCCACACTTTACAAATCACTACAGCACACACTAAGTTTTTTCCAGCCTGCAGTATCTTCACTAGACGTTTCCTGGCAACAGCTTCTAACAACAGCTATTTTTCTGCTTCTGCTTCTGTGCTCAAGTTCTCTCTCAATGGTGGCTCCCTTCAAACTGAACTATTCTTACTTCAACTGTCCTTATAACCCCTTTGCACAGACCGAGCAGAAAACACCGTATCCAACAGTACCTCTATTTACAACTTAGTTATTAGACCGTCACAACACAACAATTAAAGAACTTCAACGATAATGCAAGATATAGTTCTGCTACATGTTTCGGCCACTAGTGGCCATCATCAGACAAACACACTTCAACAAATGTACACCACTGAACTGCAGTAGGTAAAATTTGATACAATGTCGTAAATCACTTAAGATAATTTTCCATAAGAATACAATAAATAGGTTATTTAAAACCAATAAAAGTCATATAAAAACAAAATTAAAATTTGATTGATGTTTTTAACATCGAATCAGTCGTTGGTTCCACTTTACATACATATCCGTCAACAAATAGTAAATTTCAATGTTTCATTATAAAATTGTATAGGAGGCCCAAGAATTAATGGAATCATCATCATACAGAGAATTGTACGTAATGTATGGCAGGTAAACGGTCGTAATTTTGTTTTTATATATGACTTTTATTGGTTTTAAATAACCTATTTATTGTATTCTTATGGAAAATTATCTTAAATGATTTACGACATTGTATCAAATTTTACCTACTGCAGTTCAGTGGTGTACATTTGTTGAAGTGTGTTTGTCTGATGATGGCCACTAGTGGCCGAAACATGTAGCAGAACTATATCTTGCATTATCGTTGAAGTTCTTTAATTGTTGTGTTGTGACGGTCTAATAACTAANTATAAGTTGTATGTATTGTAACACAGCAGGATGCACAAAATGAAAATTAGTACCTCTATTGTTGCATGTGTATCCATTGCAGTGGGAACATGTTTACCAAGCCACTGCCTAGAAGTGGTTCTACATTCTACAATACTTATAATATTTACACTATTTATACTTCAGTTCCTCTTTGCCTTCTTCACTTGAAGGGAATGATACAGTCAGAAACAAGGAGATGGGTACAAGGAAACATTACAGTCACTGCAACTGCATATTGTGTTTTTCTTTCTATTCAATACAAATTACACATCTTCTGCTGGCATGTTTCCTTCTACCAGTTGGAAGGTTCACATCAGGAAAATGCCTCCCTATGAATCTTCCAGCAGGGCCTCAGTGTAATGCCCTGGCTCTTATTGGTGGAACCTTGGGAGTTGCTCCTCCACACTTCTGAAACGATTTCTATACTATGTCTATTCATAACCGTAAATAAGTATACTTGCCACCATGTTCTTTAAATGTCACATATAAATTGAACCCTATAAGATCAGAATATCAGCATTTCCCATTGCAGCATCATAATCAATGGGCATATTACACCACATTCCTTATCATGTACAGTCTGCATTTTCTTCCACAGCTCAGACACAGCTGATCACCCAAGAAAACATCATTGCAGATTACTATAAATTACCAATGGTAACTTCAGAGAATATTTTCAGATTGTGCAACTACTCAACACAGTATACCCCATATTCTCAGCTACATCATAAAATGTAAATAAATGATAAGTGTATCATAAAAAAAAACATTGGAACACATTATGCCTTGTTCTCACACAGATCATATTCACGAAGAACAGTAAGGATGTCCTTTCCTTTAGGTCCAGAACACAACACATCTTGGGCTGAAAAAGAAAAGATGCCATTATGCTGCAATGTGCTACCTTACTTATTAAGTAATGTGGAAAAACAAGAGGAAAAATAAATGGAAAATTTAAGACATTACTTCACTTTCAAATTACGATTCAGAGTCTACGACATACAATTGACCTGACTTAGGAATATCTCATTTAAAATGGTTTCCTACTTAAAAAGTTGAAATTATTGGGTCTTTAAAGTAATACCATAAGAACAATGCATTCATATCCCATTTAAAACTTTCCTATATTATATTTCAGCATCCTGTTACACTCACACAATATATATGGATAAATACCGTCTTAAGTGCAACAAATTTTATTGTAGTTTTTACTTCTTTTCCTCCTCCACACTACATGTTTCGGCCCTAAACGGCCATCATCAGGTGTGTATCACTCACGTAGCTGTTACACTGCTTGTTAAAATTTAAAATTACCAGTCTTTCTAATTGTATAAAATCTTTGTTTATCTACACGCGTCGATTTGATTTTTAAATTAGCACTTTTTAAAACTTAATTCAAGTTAAAATGTCTATAAGATCTCTATTCTTTCTTTTTCATTTTTTTGTTGTTAAAATTTTTT